TCATCTTGTGACCGGCGTCCACCTGCTGTCATGAGACTAATCCCTTCAAAACTCCTCTGTCTCCACCCTGAAGGCCCCGCCCAGCCGCCGGCCACCGGTTTGTCTTGGCGGCAGATGGTGGCCCTATTAGACACACTCTCAGAACACTTCACTGCCCACCGACGGTACAGCAGCGCTTGTCTTTTTTTTTTTTTTTTTTGCTTTTTTTGCCGTGACTCATCCTTTCTGGCGCTGGTGACATCGCTGCAGCTTGATGAGGAGATAATGTGAGGGGGAGGAAAGCAGGGAGCAGACGGAGCCCGGCGTACATCACGCGCATTATGAAGTCTCTTCGTCTTGATAGCCTAATTAACGCAGCAAAATGCCAAAAGGTTGCCTCACCGTGAGGCGCTTCAAACAGAAAGCCGGGACAGTTATTGTTTTCCCTCTTAGGTGCAGCTGACTGCGTCTGAGCCACTTCAGAGGCAACTGAGGGGGAATTTCAAACAGAATGTATTGATATTTTTGAAGCCGTAACCATGAACTCCTCTGATTAAATGTATAAGAACGATAAATGTTGATGTTGCCCTTGATTCAAACTAAAACGTGTAAAGATAAATAAAAGGGTACTTTTGCAATTCCTTATTCATATGAGACTTTAAGCATTTTTCTAAGACATTTTCTACCCTCTTTATTAGATCTAGGACCTACATGTAGAAGCAACACATTACCAGGAAAAAAGAAAGAAATTATGGTTTAGGTTATTCTGTTTCCTCGCTCAGCCGTAACCTTACACGTTAGACTAGTTGTTTTATGGAGCAATCTGGATTGTTTTAAAGTTAAAAGTAGCGGCCCTTGGTTTGTGAATGAATGAATCCTATAATTAACCAATTTCGCAAAGAGAAGTGGGTCCAAACTGATGTAAAAGACTCATTGTCAGACATCAACAGATTTTGTAATCCTCCCGGAAACGCAGGAAGCTTTAATTGGATTTGAACCCAGAGGAGTCGTGACCTGATGATCCTCGGTGGCGTTGTGCTCACAACGTCTAACTAAGCGAAACCCGTTTTCCTGCTAGGAGTGGCCGAGCAGTTTGCAATTGCCGAGGCCAAGCTGCGTGCCTGGGCGTCGCTAGACGATGACGAGGAGGACGAGGAAGACTTCAATGATGAAGAATCCCACGCCAACGGACAGACTTGCAGCTTATCCACGGAGAATCCAGGTATCCATCTTCATCCTCGTCTTTCATGACCCTCACTGTTTTCGTTCATCACCGCTGACGAGGTGCTCACCCTCCCGTTTTCTTCCCCCATAATTCATTTCACCCATGTCCAGAGGTTCTGACTGTCTGCTCCTCTCTCAGACGCAGCCATGTCCGAACCAATCAGCGGAGCGCCGTGCCAGCCTGAGACGCAAGACGTCGAGGTGCCACAGTCTGTTCGTCCCGTAGGCTCCGTCAGCAGCGGCGGCCCTTTCCAAGACAGGCCTCTGACTGATGACGACCTACAGAGCGGCTCGCCCTCTTCGCGCGGCGACTGCATGTGTCCATTCCTGGAGGAAGAGGAAGAGCGGCTGCACGGTCTGGTGGAGCAGCTGACTCCCCTGCAGGAGCAGCGCGGCGAGGTTTGCGTCCACAGCAAGCCGGAGTGGCGGCCCCGGAACCGGAGCAGCAGGTTCGACTCCTGCTACTCCACCTCTCACTCCGAGTCCCCCGGAGAGGAGGACGAGGAAGACGAGGAGGAGGAGGGCAGCGTGTTTCACGAGGTGCGGGTGTGGCACTGCAGCCCCAGAGGCTTCTTCTCCGACCGGGGGTCTTCTGGAGTGGCGTCTTTCGACGAAGAGGAGGAGCGGGAGGAGGCAGAGGAGGAGGAGGAGGAGAAGAAGGAGGAGAAGGAGTATTTGATGTGATGTATCGTCCATGTTTATGTCTTTCTGAGTCGATGTTGATTCCGATACGACATAGATCTAGTCCGATGACATTGTGAACCTCCTCTCATCTCCTCCTCCCCTCTTCCCGCCGCCTCTCCTCCTCCGGAAGCCTTTCATCCGTCACCCCTCCAGGCCTTCTACTGATCTCCTCCCACAGGTTATCGCTGCCGTAAACAGTACACGTGTCGGAGAGTTTAATCAGGATGTAAAGCTGTTGTTCAAACTGAGTTTTGTATATTTTTGTGAAGAGTCATGTGCTGTTCATTTGTTGTTTTTGTTTTTTCTATGGATGTTTTGTAGTGTGGTTTATTTTCCAGCTCGTCCTGTGTCATATGGGTTTGATATGGAAAGCACGAGTGTTCTGCATACAGTATATAAATATAATTTTTGAAACAAGATCATTCCTTGTGGTTCTTTATTTTTTCAGTCTTGGCGAAAGCAAAACATATTGGGGAATAAAAAAAAAGGAATCAAATTCTCAGTTTTGGTTTTGCACATTTTTTTCTCTTTAAATTTATTCATTCATGTACAAAAACAATTTCGTGTTCTCTGAAAAATAACAATGGTAGTTGAGTTCAAAATGCACAATCCTCCTATGTACATCAGCATGTAGATTTTCCTCATCTGTGTATTTCTGTATGTACAAAGCATATACAGGCCAGTGTCATATAAAGGGAGATACTACAGACTTATTGCTTAACTAGATACGCTGCAAATTAGCTCAGATGCTCTCTACTATTAATTCCTTATACATTACCTTATAATGCAAGCATTACTGAATGTTCCATATGCACTCAAAAAGTGATAGACATTTATTGCACAAACAGGGGAAAAAAAACAAAAACAAATCTGGTTTGCTGCAGCTTAGGCATGGGTCAGTAACCAGTATCAAGGTAGACCAAGACTTTTAAAATGTCACAAACCTGTGATAATTTCACATCTCATCATTCTCAAGATTTGAATAATTTTTTTTAATAAGATGTCAGAGAAAATGCAGGAATGCTTGTTTTTCTCCAGCTCTATGGCTTATAGAGTCATGCACCACCCAACCCCACCTGTTGCTGCACACTCGTGTTCAGCTGCTCAGAGGAAGGTCTACTAAACATTTCCCTCCCTTATGGGTGTGTGGCAATAACATAAAATGGCATTTAAAAAGTCAATTTCCCCAATTCTATTCAAAAAGTATAACTTAATATCTCCTTTAGATCCAGGAAATACAGCTTTGTGTGAATTTGAACAGATATCACTTACAGCTAATGAAATGATTTAAATGTTACAGTTAAGAACTTGTACAGAGACGTTGTTTTGGCCTCCACAACTGCAGGGGAGATTGCTGAATGAATGGACAGTCACCGACAGGCTCGGTAACAAGAAGAAGGGTAAGTCACCAAATGCCGTTTCTGCTTGCTTTACAGTATCCAAACATGTTAATGGAAACAGGAGTGCAAGGAAAAAGTTTGCCTGTGTGCAGTTCAGATATCAGGGAATCCTGAAGCACTTCATGCTTCACACTTGCTGATGAGCTTTATAAAGATGCTGATGTTTACTTTCCAGCAGGGCTTGGCACAATGCCTGCCCACAATGCCAAAAGTAGCAATAGCTGCCTTAGTGGTCATGGTGTTATTGTGCTTGATTGGCCAGCAAACAAAACCCCTTAGGGAATTGTCAGAAGGAAGATGAGAGACACCAGACCCGATGTAGATGACCTGAAGTCTGCTATTAAAGCCACCTGGGTGTCTTAACGTCACAGCAGTAGGACAGGCCGATTGCCTCCATTTACTGCAGTTTTCCACGCAAAAGGAGGAATCACGGAAACACTGAGTGCATGCACTGCATGGACTTGCTTTTTATTAGGATGACATTTCTACAATTGAAAATGTTACTCCTTTTTTTTGTCCTATATAATACTCTCGTTTTCTGAAGGTTTTCATTAGTAAAAAAAAACATTTAAGAATAAGAAAATATCAATCGCACATTCTGATTTGTCAAGTTACCAATGAAAGACAAATTCAGCTGACTTTTTTTCTGTTATAAACATAAAAAGTCTTTGGGTGGTATTTAATATCTGTCACTTCCGTTTGTCGAATCTACAGCTGACAAACAAAAGAGTCGAATTTTTGTTAGCTAGCAGTAAAGCAGAATGGCGACCTGAGCAGACAGCCTGAATAATTAATCAGTTTTTTTGTTTTTTGGTGTTTTTTTTAAGAAAAAAAAAAAAAAAAAAGATGTCAAGACTTGGTTTCCATAATAATTCTTGAAAACTGTTATTAAATTCAGCGGGGGTTTATTCTTCAGTTTATGCACAAACATCTAAATAACACCGACTTTTATAACCTCAGTGAACTGTCTGAATGGGTTGCAGCAGCAGGGTTAATGGTCGTAAACACATTTAGACAATGTTATGAATTATTGTGTGAAAATGTTTCTCTTCACATTGTTAAAACCAATGTATTTTTTTTACTCAGGGCAAAAAAAAAAAAAAAGGAAAATCTCATACTGGCCCATGCCTCCTGCAGCCAATTCACAAATGATAAAAAAAAAAAAAAGAAAAGAGTTGAAGCTAAAAGAAATCCATCAGCAGTATTCACACAGCTTTTCAGGCTTTGTACAGCGGTTAAACTGCTCCTTTAGAGCTCAGGCTGGATTGAACGTACTCTGTTATAAAGAGACGCTAAGTACCCACAGACCACACACCGAGGAGCGTTTGTCAGTGTTTGTGTGTGTGTGTGTGTGTGTGCTCTGTACGACAGCCTGTAAATTTTGCAACTAGGGCCCTCATTAGTCATGCACTTTAAACTCACATACAGCAGCAGAAGATGTTCGGATGATGAAACGGACTCTCTATGTCGTCCTTACAGAGTCGGCTGCTCTAGAGCCGAACGAGGCGCCAACGGCGACTGGTGTTAAGATGGTAATTACAATGTGCTTTACTGCTAAATTGGGAGCCCTGTGTCCAGCTGCAGGGATCTTTAGAAGCTGCCTTTGTCGTCGTTTGAACAGATCCCAGAAAATACATTTTTGGGGGCTGATCCGTAGACCAGTGTCCGATATCAAAAGAAAGACCAATGCTGATGACAATATACCTTAAATAATACAGTCTGCAATTTCCCTTTGCTTTATTAATAACATGGACGTATTGCATTTCATTTGACACATATACCAACAACACCTCTTGTTATTAGTCATCGACAGAGACTCTTACATTTGTGCATTGCTCGTACATACGTAGTTTGGATCAATACCATCGTGTGCTTATGTCAGTAATTCCCTTGTCATTCTGTGCTTTCAGTGTTGCTTGCTCTTTTCAGTTTTTAGCCAACATTATTCGCACAGGAGCCAAATGATTCCATGTACTTTTTGTTGGCTTCAACTCAACAGGATCTTGTTTTGGCGAATTCAACGTAGGACCAGATTTAATTATGGAAAGTTTTTGGTCGCTCACACATGCAGACGTCTAAAACACACACACGCACACACACACACACACAAATATAAAACTGTAAAGCTGGTGTTGTTATATCTTAATGTCAACAAATCCCCTTTGAAAGACTTAAACAACAAAGTACTCTAAAATTAGACAATGGGGCTTCGTGTGCTCGTGGAACAGACATAACTATCGTAGCCATGGATGCTTAGATCTAAGTATGCACAGTTTTGTCCGCACATTTACCACATATTATCATTTAAGTGACATTTCCTAAAAAATGGTGTGGACAATATCTCAATTTTTTGTTAGGAGGACATAATAAAGCATCGCTTAGTCTTTAACAGGTCTTAAAATTCGGTGAATAGCCTCTGCTCAAATGTAACGGCTCATAACATCTTATAGTGTCATAAATTAATATGCAGAAACACTGTGTGAAAAACCAGGAAAAATATTGCTGCTTTACGTAAATGCAAATGACGAGTAACAGCATTTTGCTTCTCATCAAATGTCCCAGATTACCTGAAAAATAGCAAAGGCGACCGTCCGAATAAAGCAAAAGTTCGGGGAAGTTGCAGGTTGCGAGTGTTCTTGTGTTGAATATCAACACAAACAAATAAATAAATACATTTTGTAAAATAAATAAATAAATAAATAAATAAATGTTGCTTAAACAATTCACAATGAGACAACTTCTTGTGATTCCTACATTTAAACAAACCACAAGACTATATGGAACAATGCATTAAAAAGGCCACTGATGTTTTGTTATAATGCAGAAAAACAAAAAAAAAAACAAAACAAAAACATTTTTAGTAAAAATCAATCAAGCTCAGCAAACACCTCACTGCAGCTGTGAGGCATGGTGTTGGAGAAGGGATGAGTGGGCTTGTTTAGCCCAGAACTGTAGGCATATGACACGCCCCAGACAATACCACCCTGGGCAGAGAACCATAATGCAGAAATAAAGACCCTAAGTTAAAGTATATGATATTATCTGTCACAGAGTTAATGTTTCACCTTATAGAACACTGATTCCTGAAAATCTACATCAGAAAGCTGCTCCAAAATCTTAGCACGCTGTGTAAAATGTAAAATAGTACTCAGTAATTTCAGACCTCAACCTGAATAAAATGCTCTGGAAGCTGAGCATGAACTGCTGCCTGCAAATTATAAAGAATGAGGGTCACAGAAAAGACAATTACTGTACGGTACTGCTGTTAAATTTAGTGCTTGCTGAATAATGGTGGATATATTATTCACACAGTGGTTCTGAGTTCTGACGACACGTAATGTGCTATGAGTCGTTTCTGACCTGATGTTGTTTCTACCGTGATTTTTAGACCAGAAAAGAACCAAACACATTTTTTTATTTATGTCTTCATAGAATAGGACGCATGCACTCTGATCAGTCACCATTAACACGTTTCGTTTGTTACAACCACAAACATTAATAGATTTTAACGGGATTTTAAGACACCAGTCTAGAGTAACACATAGTTGTGAACTGAAAGGGAAAAGATACAAAAATATGAAAATGTGTGTGGTCTGATCAACCCATTTCTCCAAATAAAATCATGTGTGACCAATTGCCTCCTGGTTAGAAAATAGAATCCAGGTGTGTTTAGTTTATTTTAAACACTGAGGATACAGCCATGCTGCAAACGTCTCAGGGAAAAAGCAAATATTAGTAGAAAAAAAAAAATCCAACAAATGCTTGCAGTTTTGAATTGCCACCATAAGGAGACAAGAAGGGCCTCTGGTCAGATTAAAGCAAAACTTAATGGGCAGATGTCACATTTTAAACATTTCATTCATAAATAAAAGTCTTTTTTTTCCCTTTCCTCTTAAAATCCCAATAAAATACATTCAAGTGTGTAGTTGTGATGTGACTATTAATGATGTAAAAATAAGGTTAAGGGGGTAATATTGATTACATATTGCCACTTGCCAACAAGTCACTCAAATGCATCAGCAGACATCCCTTTGCTTACAATCAATAGGACCCGAATCACAAAACAGCTATCCCATTTTATCCACAACTGTGATGTAGAAGATCTCTCTGTGATCAGGGGTTTGTCACCAGCTACTTCAGAAGGAACTCTGATTAATATCAGGAGCCAACCTAGGCACTAACTTATCCTTGTTGAGTTTCTCAACCAACTCAGCATTGCTCCCCTGCAACAATGCAAATACTTCTAAATAGACACCTCACACCTATTTTTAGTCAAAGCAGTCTTCTTTACCCCGTTGAGGCCAAGTTGCTTTTTTTCCTACATTGTGACTTGGTCAGCAAAATTCAGTTTTGCTGTTCAAGCTGTGATTTGTGAGCCTTGTGCTTTAAGCTTTCTGACTTCACACCTCCTGATTTCCTGTTTGTCGTTAACAAACTTTATCAGCAGCACACGAGGGGAAAGGAGGCTTTCTGCAACATTTGTCTGGGACCATCCTTGTTTTCCGACGATAAACAAACCTTGATGCGGACACTTTTGAAAATACAGAAATATTTGGTCTTTCATAAATGATCTGTTGATGGCTAAAAAAAAAATAATAATAATAATAATAATAAAAGAAATAAAATCGACCATCCCCTATCAACAGACATTCGCTCACATCACTGGGTTAGAAACACAAGTGTCTAGGCTGGACTGATGCAAATTTAAGAAACAGATACACTTATGAGGAGACAGTATAGATAAGCTTTAGATTAGCATTCTGATTGGTCCTTGGTGTGGACAGTGCTACCCTCTCCCCCAGGTTCTGATTGGTCCGTGTTTAGAGTTGGACTCCTGTGCTCTTGCTCCACCTCGTCCGGCGCCGGCGTGGGGTCGGCGGGGTCGTGGTCGCAGCCCAGCTCCGACTCCTCGGTGTGAGAGGGGCTACAGTCAAAAGTAAACTCTGATTTGTCCTCGGTGAATGAGGGGCTTTCTTGAAGGACGAGGTCTGACAACTGGTTATCGCTGCTTTCGAATTGCAAATCAGTCTTGTCTGAGAAGCTGACGGGGACGTCTTTGAACGAAAGGTCCAGCTTTTTTGCCGGGTTGGGAGGCTTAGGTTCCCGTGGCAAGGACAGCCCTCTGTGACGCATGCACAGCTTGTGTAGTTCTGTTACCTCAGATACGCTCGTGCTGTTCCCACTGTCACGGAAACTGGCCAGAGGAGGGCGCACTTTCACTCCAGTCACTGTGACCGAGCCCTCGATGGCCTTACGCAGCTGCGAACGCCGAGAAGCAGGCGGCAGGAAAACAGGAAGCAAGCACAGCCAGTGGGAGCACAGAAAAAAAAAGAGAAAATTGTCAATTAAATATCTTTAAAACAAAACAAATAAGGGTTAAAAAAAGTAAAAGAAATCACATGCGCACCTCTTTGAGTGAAACCACTCCAACTAGCCGTCCCATGCTGGTCACGTAGGCGTGACCCAGGCCCAGCAGAGAGAAGATAGTGTGAGTCTGTGGGTGAGGAGGAGAGATGGGTCATGGCCTGAATACAGACTTGAAAGGGGCTCATTTGCATTTTGCATCTGGGCTGTGTGGACTGTCATGCAGGGAACGGGACAGCATTGTATTTTTGGCTTTCAAGATGGTCACTGAGTCAGATCCAGGCGGTCTTAGACTTCCACTGATGTGTGCTGAGGATATTTTTCCACAGATTTCATTTACAGAGACAGGATAGTTTAGAATAATTTATCACAGAATACATTTTTTTTTAAGGATGATTGACTGTTTTTATCTAAATTTAAACTGTTGAATAACGACAGAGCAAATATGCCGATCATATAGAAATGATATTTCCTCCAGAACACAGAGACAGGCTCAAGTTATGAAGGTTCGGTGAAATAAGAGCACCCAGTTTCTACAGGCTCCGTATTAAAATGCAAGCCCTCTTCTGGATGTTTAAATTACAGTTCTGCCAGTTAAATTTAAATCAAATGGTATGAAAGGTTGCTGGCTATTTCTGTACCTTGTGCAGAGACGTTTGCTCCACCAGCTGGAAGGGGGCGGGATCAATCTTGCAGTTCTTGAAATCCACCAGCTGATCAAGCTGCTGATCCTCCCACTCTGCTATCTGCAGAGGGATAGAAACCAGAGTTAAAAAAAAAAAAAACTGTTTTAAATATCTGAATTACAGAAGTCCTCCTCATTTTTCAAGTCTCACCTCTGAGGGAGTCATGCAATCTTCCACTTCAGAAGACTCCTAAAAATACAAAAAAAAAAAAAAAAAAGGAGAAAAGTGAGACAATCAGGGTTTTTTTTTCTTATATATAAATCTTTAAAACTGTATAGTTTGGAAAAACACATCAAAACACATTAGTTTTAGTTTCAATTTTGTAAAAGTTTCAGATTAAAACACAAAAAAAAGGAATGTGTTTTACTGTGCCTTTTCAGACATAGTCACACCGTAATAACGTTTTCATATTTTGTCATAAAACAACAGCAAACTTCAAAGTATTTTGTTGGGATTTTATGTAACAAACTCAAATAATCAAATAATTTCAAAATAGTCAGCACTGCTGAGTAAGTACTTTGTAAAGCCACCTTTCACTACAGATGCAAATCTTTTATGGTTTGTCTACCACTATTTCAGGTCAAGAGGCCAGATTGTTTGGCCATTCTTTTTTTTTTTGCACGATATCTCCAGATCAGGCTGCTTGGGTGGAGGGTCTCTGTGACTGGGCCTCTCAAACACTTTAATACTCTTAAATCTACAAACTATTTAATTGTAGCTCTGGCTGCAGGTTCAGGATTGTTATCCTGCTGTATCCTGAGAGCTACCGCCTCAGTCTCAAGTCTTTCGCAACCTGTAGCAAGTGTTCTTCTAGGTTTACTCCCATTCATTGTCTCGTCAACTTCGGTAAAGTTCTCTGTCTGTCCAGAAGAAAAAAAAAATCCACACGACACGATGCTGCCACCACCATTCGCGGCGACAAGGCAAGGTGAACAATGGAACGCTTTTCACCATTCAATCAACTTCTAAACGCACTCTGTTGCATTGCATTTTTTATATCTTTGTAAGAGAGGATTTATATTTCTTTCAGAGATTTATTTGCATGCACTGCATTGTATTAGTCTAAATCCCAAATAAAACACGCTGCGTTTGCGGTCAAGGTCAAGGGGTGTGAAAACCACTCTACAGTTTTATTAATGCAAGAGAAGAAATATGTTAAAAAATGCACAGTCACACTGAACACGTTTAGAGTGAAAACATCTGAAAGCACGAGCATCTTGACCAATCTCACACACTCTCTCTCTCTCTGCAAAAAGCCACTCTGATGCTTTTGGTTTGAGCACCACAAATATTTTTGCTCCAGCACTTACTATGCGCACGTCGCAAGGCAACAGTTACTTAGCAACAGTCTCTAGGCGGCAGACAGTCTTACCGCCATGGAGATCCTCACTCCTTTGGGCTTGGGCTTTGTTTTGTCAGGAGACGCCGGCCCGGCCGGACTCTTCCAGCCGGGGGAGAGAAGGCATCACAGCACAAGATTAACACAAGGTTCACATGAAGCGGACAGTTTCTAACCCTGTGTGAGCATGGCAGCCAGACTTCTGCAGGGAAGAAGTCTCTGTGATGTAAGCACAGCTTTACTGAAAGGCTGTAATTACTGCACCACAGATGAAGACGAGGGGACGAGGTCTTTACGAGATTCTACCGCAGCTCTTTTTAATGTTTTACGTGCAAGCCAGGTTAAATGTACCGTTTGTTCTACATTTTGTTTTTAAATCCTCTTTGAACATCTAGTACGGAAGAAACTGTTAACTATATTTACTTATTTCAGAAGGATGAACTCCCATTACAAATGAAGGCCAAAGAGGAGGATAAAACTAAAACCCACACGTTTGAGTCATCAAACTACTAGCGAGCCTTTTTTTCTGTTCCGCTTTGGAAAAACTCAGTTCAATTTATAATTAAGCTCATAAAAATTTAAACTTTTTTTAATTTTGTCTCTTTGTTTCAGTATTTAATTTAGGAAGCTAAACATATTATGGTAGTAGTGGCTGTTCTACATTTACACAATGAAATGTTTTTATTTTGAACCAAATATTAACCAGAGAATAATCATTCTAATTTGTTTTATTATTAGTATTATTAAGCATGAGCTTGCGCCTGTATGTTGTTGAAACAAACTAATAATGTTATTAATGATAAATGAAAGGAAAATCTAAATGTTTCTGATGGCAAAAATTGAATAAAAATATTATTTTGGTTGTAAAAGTTTAAAATGATTAAAGACTCGTTTACTGATGCACGACCTTCACAAAATAAACACCGCACTCCTGTTGCAGTGTCTTCCTCTCAATTTCACTTTCCAACCTCTAGTTCAGTAGATCTTAATAGTCAGACGGGGAAAAGAAATCCCACGTTAAGAAATACATTTTTCAAAGCATTTTTGGTGGCACAGTTACTGTCAACTCCAACAGTTCATCAAAAATTAATGTCATATTAGTGATTTTGCCATTTTTACTTTAGTTTTATAGGCTGATCAGGGCTTGTATAACTTCCAGTAATTACGTCGTGACTTTCGGTGTCCCTGGAATAAATTTATGAACATGAAGCACAGGGCCATTTTTCTTAGCTGTTGTCCACTCGAGTGGATAAGGACCCAAGGTGATCTTGCCTCCATGGAACGAGGAGGCTGGTGAGTGAGGTAAAAAAAAAAAAAATAATAATAACCTTATTGTTAGAAAGTCATAGCAAAGAGAAGTTGGTGCCAGAAAAAGGTTTTAGATGTTACCTACATGGTAATCAGTTGTTTGCAGAGGCAGCCAAAGAAAAGGTATCTACCATCTCAAAACCATGTGGAGATAATAATACTTTTAGTGCTACAGGGAATTCAACTGGACCTGTATGCTTTGGTCAGATGAATCTAAGATTGAAATTTTCCTCCAACAAGCAGAACAAATTCTTGGGGTGATGCTTCAGGTCTATTTCTCTCAGAACATGTAGAGTTCATATTTTTTTACCCCGCTGAGTAAAAGTCGTCAAATTAGCGGCCGGGTTTTTCCAAGCTGTTTATTGTCAAATGTGTCTATGCGGGAAGCTGAAGGAGTCAAAGACAGACCGACAGTTGCCTCGACGCGTGGCTCCGCCTCTGGGCCCAACTCTGACTAAAGCGAAGTGAAAATGTAGGATGTTGGAAGACTGGCAGTGGGGGCGCTGTGCAGTCACCGACTGATCGGACGGAGCTGTGCACAGCGAGAACCGAATGACATCACACTGCAAAGCTCTGGTGCCTTTGGGTGAGTCCTATCCGGCAGCAACAGGACAGCAACGAGCCATGGACTCAGAGAGAGCGCATCCTCCCACAGCACATGTCACACTCGTCCTTCCACGGAAAGCTCACACCTAAGTAAACTCGGTCTTTTCTCACCTCCAGCAGCTCGTTCTCCGGATCCGCACAGGAGAGGGTCTGTGAGCCTGATGGGGTAAAAAAAAATAAATAAAATAAAATAAAAAATTAGAACAGATTTTTATTAAATCTGCTTCTGATACTTAAAAGTGTTAAACAATGCCTTGAAAAGTGTTTTTACCAGAGACAAAACTTTTAACAACCACTTTTTCCTCCATTTACAGCTAAGGTTAGGTTAACACATAAACGCAATAAACATAACAAACATTTGTGCATATAATATGACAAAACTGCTGAACGTCTAAAACGTGTCAATGCTTTTGCAAGGCACAAAATTAACATGTTCCAGTTGTTCTTGTTTCTTGTCCGCACGTCCTCGTTTAAGCCACTTACTGTTTGGCGTCTCTGCGTCGCTGATGGCCGACACGGTTTTCAAGGCCGACTTCAGAGGAAGCTGAGCGTTGGACGCCGCCGGGCTGAAGGAGGAAGACTCCTCTGTGGAGATCTGCACGGACAACGCATTAACAGGAGAGAACGGACACAGACACATGCACACAAATGCACACAGATCGGCCAAGCGCAGGCACAGAAACAAACAGGACAGCACGGGTAAAGGCACAGACAACAGAGACACAAAAGAGAGATGTTAATAGAGAAGTTTTAATATTTCACATTTGTATATTTTCTTTTCAAAACACTTACCGCCACAAAAAGAAATAATAATAATAAAAAAATCCAAAAGCTGCAGCTGTGCCTTTACCTACTGCTCTGTGCTTCACTCATGCTGTTTCTGATCTACTTCTAGTCTACTCCTGCATCCCACCCCAAGCCCGAGCTCGACCCGACCCTGCCCCGGCGCCCCCGGACGCCTCACACCTGCTGGGTGCTCACCAGGAAGCGGACAACTTGGCGAGCACTGGTGTTGGTGGGGGTGTTGAGGTGAACGTGGGCGCAGGGGGAGCTGGGGGTGCTGTCGGAGGTCAGGCTGGGCAGGGGATCGTGAGCACCGTTGTCCTGGGCCAGCTGACGAAGGTACTCGAGCCTCCGCTGGCGGCTCAGCTGGAGAGACAGGAGCGACTGCAGCTGCAGTCGCTCTATGGAGCCCAGCAGGATCATGGAGTCTGAGGGAGATGAAGGCCAGGTCAGTCCGTCATGCATTAAATCAGCAGGAAAACGTGAAGCCATCCCGTATCGGCTCATAAAATGCAATTCCCCCTCTGTTTTTGTGCCTTTTATACAAGTATCTACTTCTTATTACCTGGCATTACAGATATTCTTTTATTTTTTTATTTTGCAGGGACAGAAGGAGTGAGTGAGACGGACACCACACACCGAGCTAATTATTGTCGGCACCAAGCGGTCGCTCAACGGTGCAGCAAATGTTGAAAGGGAATTAGGTTCAGGTCAGGCTGGAGTACAGAGAGTTGTCTGTGGCTGCTGCAGCAGCAGGAAGGTCATGCCGCTTTATCTACGAGCTCGGCTTTGGCAAACAGAAGGAACTGTCATCCTGGTGGTGTGGCTCGCTGGACACGACACAGTTTTCTAAAAAGCTTTTCAAATTTTCAGATAAATTAAGCTATTTAAAACGATGTCTAACGTCATTTAAAACAATTTAAAATCTGACATTTTTTATATGCGCCAATGTAAAAAGGATAACGGAAAAACACAATGATAAGAACTAGAAAAAACTGTGAAAAAGGAGAGAAAAAAAACCCCTCTAATTTTATTTTCAGCAGCATTTTGACAATAAACAAAACATACAATGGGCTACACTGTATATAGTAATTTCATAGTCAATCGATTTGTGAACAGAACGGGGTAAAAGAAAAAAAACAATAGATCTGGAGGAGGTAAGGAAAGAAGAAATGACACGGATAAGTGAAGAAGTTCAAAAGAAACAAATTAGAAACTCTGAGTTCGAAATGCTTAGAGTGTGTTTATAGCAACCAATAATAAATAAGATCATCAGAAAGGAAAATACCTCTGATGCCGTCCAAATTCAAAATAGAAATTTCCCTCTTAACCTGAGAACGATACAAATATTCTAACAAAATCTGAAGACCCCGTCCCTGGCTGAGCCTCCCACTGTTCCAAACAAGAAAAACAATGAAAACAAACCTCTACATTCAACCAGGGCGAGGGTTTTTAGATGCCCAGTCAGCAGCATCTCCTGCAGGTCTCTGTACGAAGAATTCAAGGTGATGAAGCGCACATCTCGGACCATGATATCCTCTACGCGGATGTTATACTTCCTAAATGATGGAAGAGAAGTTACTAGTTTGGTGATGGAAAGGGAGAGGTCAAAAAATATAAATGAAGTCAAAACAAACGACTCATAATCACGTTAGATGAGAGCAAAGAAAAAAACAAAAAAAAGACCAAACTCACTCGTGATGTCCCATCCCCAGCTCTGGTAGATATGGGAGCTTCTTGATGCGAATGATGGAGTCGTAGAGGGACGGCTGGAGCGCTTGTGCCACGGCGTTGGCCAGAATCACTGCGATCATCACAGGCAAGATGTGGGAGATCTGGCCGGTCAGCTCAAACACAATGACCGCTGTGGAAACGGTGTGAGTGACCGCACCAGAGAGCGCTGCAGCGCCTGCACAGAGAAAAGGAAAAGCAGGTAAATATTTGCCTTCTTAAATCTTCAGTCATTTGAAAAACAGACTTTTATTACTGTTACTTTAAACAATTCTCATTTAAAGATGCTAATTTTTTTATGTGTTGATGTTGTCATTCAAAATTTTACTATATTTTGATTCTAACAGTAATCATTGCACTAATCTTATTTTTGATGTTTTGCTACGTAGCATTTGCTGCCTGCAAAGTGATTAAAACGTGCTGAAGGCTCAAGGCTACAGCAAATGAAGTCACCTAAGCCGCATAAGATGAGCATAAAATCCTAAGTAGAAGGAGCTGGGAGGAGTATAAAAGCTGATTTATAGCAACTCACCAACAACAGCATAACCACCAGGAACTATAGGATACACATCTCCGTGGATGCCATCAGGGAACATGGTTGCCATGATTTCACCAACTAATCTGCCGAATGCTGCACCTGTCAGTCAACAACACACACAGAATACCGTTGGTCCTTAAGAGCTCCCTGGGAAAAAAAAAAAAAAAAAAAAAGAAAGAGGCTGACTGTTCATTCACCAATAAGAAAGACGGGCATGAAGGCTCCACACGGGACTGGCATGGTGGTGGCGACAGCAGACATCCAGAACTGAAACACAGAGAAACGTTTGGGTGAAATAAAATAAAATGCAGAGTTTTAGGCCATAGCTTGCTGTATACCTTGTGACCAGATACGGTCAGCAGTTACACAGAAAGACGAATATCGCGCTACGCAAACTTTGTGGCTTCATGAAAATATGCCTCTTTAATTGTTGCATGATAGAAGCAGGTAAAAGCAGTCAGCGTTCACCTTCATGACGATGAAGAGGATGAGCGTGATGAAGATGTTGACCTGGGGGTGTTTCCAGGCGTGATGGTGGCTGATGTAGTCAAACTCCTCAGCCACACCCTGGCGACACCAGGTGCGGTTGTCGAACAGAGCAACCAGAGACTCGTGCTGCGTCAGCTGACAGACAGGAAAACCGTCCGTCAGTTCAGAGTGTGACAGAAACAAAACCCTCGCTGCAACATAGATGTGGCGCTTGCGAAAATTTCAAAAAAAAAAAAAAAAAAAAAAAAAAATTTGAAACCTTTTTTTTGCGGGGGGGGGAAAAAACCGCCATT